CGTGACTTTATCAAAAACATGATCACTGGTACCTCCCAGGCTGATTGTGCTATCCTCATCATCGCCGGTGGTCAAGGTGAGTTCGAGGCTGGTATCTCGAAGGATGGCCAGACTCGTGAGCACGCGCTCCTCGCCTTCACCCTCGGTGTGCGACAGCTCATTGTCGCTGTCAACAAGATGGACACCACCAAGGTATGTATAACCTCCGCGTCTTCATTGTGTGGTGCCTGACTCGCGCCCCTAGTGGTCTGAGGATCGATTCAACGAAATTATCAAGGAAACCTCCACCTTCATCAAGAAGGTCGGTTACAACCCCAAGGCTGTTCCATTCGTCCCTATCTCTGGCTGGCACGGTGACAACATGATTGAGGAATCTACCAAGTAAGCACTCGAGACTCGCGCTTGAAATCAAGTCACGAACCTTTCTATAGCATGCCATGGTACAAGGGATGGACCAAGGAAGGCAAAGCTGGTGTCGTCAAGGGCAAGACTCTCCTCGATGCCATTGACGCCATCGAACCCCCAACCCGACCTTCCGACAAGCCCCTCCGTCTCCCCCTCCAGGACGTCTACAAGATCGGTGGTATTGGAACGGTACCAGTCGGTCGTGTCGAAACTGGTGTTATCAAGGCTGGCATGGTTGTCTCTTTCGCTCCTTCCAACGTCACCACTGAAGTCAAGTCCGTCGAAATGCACCACGAACAACTCGCTGAGGGTCTCCCCGGAGACAACGTCGGTTTCAACGTCAAGTGAGTGTTGAGAGTAGTCAATCAGACAAGTCACTAACCTCGTGTAGGAACGTGTCGGTCAAGGATATCCGCCGTGGAAATGTCGCCTCTGACTCGAAGAACGACCCCGCCAAGGAAGCTGCCTCTTTCACCGCTCAAGTCATTGTCTTGAACCACCCTGGTCAAATTGGTGCCGGTTACGCCCCCGTCTTGGATTGCCACACTGCCCACATTGCCTGCAAGTTCGCCGAGCTCCAGGAGAAGATTGATCGTCGATCGGGCAAGACCATGGAAGCCAACCCCAAGTTTGTCAAGACCGGTGATGCCGCCATTGTCAAGCTCATCCCAAGCAAGCCAATGTGCGTTGAGAGCTACAACGAATACCCACCTCTTGGTCGCTTCGCCGTCCGTGACATGAGGCAGACCGTCGCTGTCGGTGTCATCAAGTCCGTTGAGAAGGCCGACAAGGGTGGAGGAAAGGGTATGTATAGATTTCGTTGTCCGTTGAGACCTGAGCTGATCTCGTCCTATAGTCACGAAGAGCGCAGAGAAGGCTGCCAAGAAGAAGTAAATGCTCTTTTGGTCACCTGTCCCGGCGGTTCGTTTCCTACGTCTTTTACGCTCTCTTCATCTTGGGATCGCCCCTTCATGTTTTCCGCCCTCTCCTTAAACTGCATTACTCCCCCGTACAAAAGAAGGCCCAATGTAGTAGTAGATTTTTGTCCAATACACTTAATCTGCTATGAACTGTATTGTTTGCACAAAGTGAAGCGAGAAGTTTGGTTTTACGATTAGATATGGTCGATTGCATAATTTTACACGGGTGACGGGTGGATCACGTGTGCGGTACTTGACCCGCGCCAGTGGCCAAAAACTCTTGACGATTGCTCGTCAGCAAAATAAAAAGACTCGGAAAACATTACCTCTGAACCAATTTCGGGGGCTTGACTGTTTTCTCGAGCTACACTCAATTTATCATGTATAACGGGATTGGTACGTTTGCATTCATCTCAATCGAGATTCTGTTTGCTAAATGTCTCATTTTCATGAATAGGATTAACAACACCGCGTGGAAGGTTTGTTTGTTTCTGAATATGCGTTCTGGACCATGTGCTAATTGCACATTTTCCGTATTCCTAGTGGTACCAATGGTTATGTCGTACGGAATCTTTCACACCTGAGATCGCATGATACAGCTGCCGATCGTGCAGCTATGGAGCCTCCTCCCATGAAGCATCGCGAACCAGACAAGGACATATTGGAGCACGAACGCAAGCGCAAAGTAGAGGTTGCGTGCCTAGAGCTACGTGACAAGCTAGAGGATGAAGGGTTCGTATATGATTGATTTATCCTAGTAGTAGCCTCATTTAATTTGATTGTTCAGGATACCGGAAGACGAGATTGAAGCACAGGTCGACGCCTTGCGCACCAAGCTGCTGGCACAGTCGAGCAATATGGGCAATCCGCGGCAGCAATACAAACCTTCAGATACGCATGCCATTCTAGCAGCCAAGCAAAGTGAAATGCAGCGAATGGCGCGTGCTTTGGGAACATCGACTGGGTACGTTGAGGGGCAAGCATTCGATCCAGCACATGCGGAGGAGATGAAAAAGCAAAGGATTGCCCAACGAGAAGAGAAGGAAAAAGAAGAGGAGAGAAGGAGGCTAGCAAAGGAGGAGAATGAAAAGGCTTGGAGAGAAAGGGAACGTCTTCGAAGACGACAAGAGGACGCTGCACGGGGAGGAGGTCGTGGTAAGCCAGCTCCTAAAAATGCGCCCTTTCCCTCCTCTGTAGGGACAAGGGAACGTAATGAACGTTCAAAATCACCACCTCCCCGCCAAAACATGTCATCCGGCGGATATGGTGGGCGTGGGCCTCCATCACGCCGTGATCGATCTCTACCTCGTAGGGTTCGTTCTCCCTCGCGTTCGCGCTCCATCTCTCCACCACCAAAAACTCGCAGACGTTCACCAAGCTCTCCACGGAGACGAGGAGCAAGCCCCAGTAATCGAGGTAGAACTCGAACTCGTTCACCTCCAAGTGAAAGATCCAAGTCTCGAAGTCCCAGAGATCGGAATCGACGTGACACCAGTATGTCCGATTCTTACTCTAGGTCTAGAAGTAGGAGCCGTTCTCGTTCCCGCTCCAAACAAAGAAGACGACCGCACTCTCGCTCACGTTCAAGGTCACGCTCTTATTCCCGATCCTCTCGTTCTCGCTCGTATTCCCTTCCGAAATACAAGGGCAATCAAGGGCGAGGAACTGGAAGGCATAGCCCTCCAAAAAGAGGTACCAATCGGGGCGGTATGGGAAGGAAAGACTTCAACAGGAGGTCAAGATCACCACCTGCACGTCAATCTGGTAAAAGGAGCGTATTGTCATCCAGATCTCGGTCAAGGTCGGTTGATAGGCGACACGGAGGAGGCCGGCCTGATAGTAGGGAGAGACGGGGGGCAAGAAAATTCGACGAAAATACTCGAATGCGCTCTAGAAGTCCTCCTACCAAAAGATCCGGCTCTGCTCGAAGCGCTTCATCTGCAAAATCAGAGGGTTCAGTGGCAATGGACGAATCCGATTAAGATCTACCAGCTCTCAGCTCTTATATTCTCACGTCATATGCATTTCATGTAGATTAGTAGGAAGATTTTGTGTCATTGTCCTATCGAATATGACTTGTCTAGCAGCCTATCCTTTTGAACCTTAATTCCCGAAGTGTTTGGGCCAAACATTTCTTTGCACCATCGCCCGACGCGTCTGTAAAGGTTGGCTCAATCACGACTCGATAAAATCAAGGAATTAGCACTCATATATATCCATAACTCCACAGACCTCCCCTAATATTCGTCCTCAAAAATGGCCACTTTCTCGTCGTCGCCAATCATCATCGACGGCAAGGGCCACTTGCTGGGCCGTCTTGCAAGTATTCTCGCAAAGCAAATACTATCTGGACAGAAGATAGTCGTTGTTCGGTGTGAAGAGATCAACATCTCGGGCAGCTTCTTCCGCAACAAGGTAAGCTCCTCTACCCGTTGCATTCTACCATCTGTTCAAGGTCGCTAACAACGGTTTTATCCTTCTTGATGTACTTGGTTTGGGATTACACTGACTTTGGTTGATTGTGACTCGATGTGACTTCAGCTTCGCTATCATAATTTCCTACACAAACGCCACATAGTAAACCCCAAAAAATCGGGTCCTTTCCATCATAGAGCACCTTCCAAGATCCTTTACCGAGCCGTGCGTGGCATGGTTCCCCACAAGACAGCACGAGGTGCTGCAGCTTTGGAACGCCTCAAGCTCTTTGAGGGAATTCCACCTCCCTATGACCGCAAAAAGCGAATGGTAGTCCCCGAGGCTCTTCGCGTCTTACGGCTCAAACCCGGAAGGAAATACTGCACTGTCAAGGTCAGAAGGACTCCTAAACCTTGAACCCTTTGATACTGATACATTCATCTAGCGACTGTCACATGAAGTTGGATGGGGCTACAAAGATGTTGTTGATCGTCTTGAAGAGAAACGCAAAGTTAAAGCTGCTGCCTTCTATGACCGAAAGGTTTGTGTTCATTGACTACTGTCTAGCACGATATCTGACGACTTTTCCATAGCTTGCCGCTGCTAAGCTCAGACAAAAGGCACATGCGGACCAGGCTTCTTCATATGCAGAGTTGGCTACGCTGGGCTATTGAGAAGGCGGATAAAGCGATTGCTATTGATTCCTTATAACATCTACCCTACTTACCCCTCCCCCATCTGCCTACGATTGCGAATATCTCCTCCCATGAGACGACTCTGCTTCGTACGGCATCTTAAACGACTATGTAACTACATGCCCTCCTTGGTAGCTGTTCTTTTTGCTGAACCAAATAACATCGCGAATATGAAACCCTTTTCACCCGTTGAAGTGTACAAAGTTCGTGTAGGAAGCTTGCATGACCAACCTTGGGTATCTGAAAAAGTGTCGAGATCGATCCAAGCTGGATACTCTCGGCCCGAGCCTTGGACATCCGTTATTCCACAAGCACCATCCTAGAAGCTGTTTACCCCGCCCAAATAGTTGAAAATGACTCTAAAAACTATCTATATCACTAGACATGGTCAGTAATACCTGCAGCCCGATTGGTGCATGATAACATCGAGCGTAGGATTTCGTTTAAACTGGCAGACCACAATCTGGTAAGATGCAAACACTGAAAGTATAATATCTGATAAATATTCACAGGAAAAGCCCCACCGGTTTTCCTAGAGACCCTCCGTTGGCCGCTTACGGTGAAGTACATGATTGGTGTTTGTATTTAATGGAGAAAGATTCCTAACAAGGGTTAGGAACAAGCTGTAGAACTGGCTACATACTTTTCTTCTTTACCTGAGAACGAACGACCCACCGCAATCTACTCTTCCCCTTACTGTGAGTAGATACCCCCAATCAATCAACCCCGCTGACTAGACTCGACACTTCAAAGACCGTTGCTTGCAAACTGCATATCCGACTTCCGTCGCCTTGAAATTACCCATCTACGTAGACCATGGATTGGGTGAATGGTACTCTCCAGTGAAGGCTGGAACCGGACTACATCCACGACCCGTTTCCGCAGCTGAACTAAAGCCATTCTTTGACAACATAGACACGTCTTGGAACCCAACATTCCTCGTAAGTCGTAAAGGAGAATCGGTCCCGGACCTATATCGCCGTGGTGAACTCTTCATGGACGCATTCATCCGACGGATCAACGAAGGTGGCTTTGGAGGCGATCACGAGCGTGTATTACTCGTTTCCCATGCAGCTACCGTGATAACTTTAGCACAGGCTCTCCTTGGTGACACCGCAATAGGAAGAGAGCTCAGAGTTGGTTGCTGCACCCTTTCTACCTTCGATAGACATGAAACAGCTGCCCAAGAGGACACAATTGGGTCCGATGTCTGGAAAGCTCGAGGTAAACTTGCAACTGCTGACTTTCTCACAAATGGGGTGGAACGAGATTGGGGTATGGCGGATATCGAAACGAAAAACGGCGTTGTAGTAGAAGATGACGGTGTCCCTGGGACTAATGGAGAAGAGGATATCGATTTTGGTCTCCAGAAATGGAATGCCCACTCAGCCTCCAGGATGTGAGACTGAGAACACTCGCCCAAGATAAAAGGTAAGCTCAATTGACCGAGTTTTAGAGTCATTTTCAACTATTTGGGCCAAACATTTCTTTGCACCATCGCCCGACGCGTCTGTAAAGGTTGGCTCAATCACGACTCGATAAAATCAA